TCCCCATTAACACCACACCGGGAAGTGATATACAGAGACAGCTTGGGTAGGCGATACAGGACGGTTTGAGTTGTGTGCGGTGTTGTGTTCACATGACCTAATTAGGGCACGTCTACTTGCTGGCTTCACATTGTGCTTTGTGTATGCGCCAAGCGATTATAAAGCTGCTATATTAGATTAGATTGGAACATGTCAGTGTCAGATATGTGGTCCGACCCGGCTGTCACCGTGCCACTCATCCTTCACTCTTTGTCCGGATTTTACCTCTTCGTTGGGTAATTTTGCACATAAATTCATGTCAGTCCATCCTTGAGCAACATTTGGACATCAGATCTTTAGGTTCTTCACATAATTCGTCATTGCTTGGTAGTGAGTCATTTTAATTATTCCTACATATTCATATAACATACCACATATTTGGGGTTACACTTTCTAAGTTCGAATCCAATACGGGATTCGAACAAGACTGTCAGATTGAGGCACAGAACAGCCAGCACACAAAGTCACGATCTAACCCACTCAGCCATCGCAGTTTCAAAAGGGCGGTGGGGTAGCATATTTAAAGCGTTGGTCGTCACGCCCAAGCCGTTGATATTGCTGGAATATTTCTGGTGTCCCCGCCGTGATATTGCTGGAATATTGCTAAAAGCGGCGTAAAACTAAACTCAGTCAGTCAGTTTCAAAAAGAATGAAAGACTGACAACAGGCAGTCGACACGTACCCTTCTAAGTGCAATCCCAAATATAGCGTATGTTATCTTCTATAAGGCAATATCTATTCACACTTCAGATATATGCTTGTAAGCACACGGTGGTGAATATTAGAGTGTCTGAAATGCGACTGCATGTATGTTTTCCATTTTACCAGGTGGCATAGTTTAGTCATTAATTTAGATGGTATATTAGGTTTTATATTCTATACTTCCACGTGTCACTATTGTTTGTATGCATTATCATTACTTGTAACATAAACTTTGACTTTCTCTCCTATCTGACTCTGAGTTGTTATTCATCTATTTTGTCAATATGTCACATTAACATTCACACCTAACTGAATGGAGAACGAACCACTTCAGTCTGAATATTTAATTTACCGATGCTGTTTCGAGTGGATTGTCTAACGGTTCAACAAGTGGATAAATGATAATTTTTTGCGCTATTGATGTTCGGAGGCTTAAGAAACATTCCTTGTTTTGTTCGCAGATCACATTAACGGTTATACAGACAATAACATTATCTTAAAAACAAGCCATTTTCTGAATGAATATAATGAGTTTGTACTAGTGAAGATCTGGGATAGAATTGGTCTCCAACCCCTGCTTGTCGTGAGAGGTAACGAACGTGATCGGGTGGTCAGGCTCGCTGACTTGGTTGACACATGTCATCGTATCCCAAACACGTAGGTCGATACTGATGCTGTTGATCACTGGATTGTCTGATCAAGACAAGAATATTTACAGACCGCAGCAATAAAGCTGAAATATTACTGAGTGCGGCGTAAAACAACAAACACACAATATCAGGAGCTTGTAACGGCATACCTTTCACTATATAACGCGAGTAATCGCGATACACTTAAACTATATTAATTATACGTGTTGTTCCAGCTCAACTTGCTAGTGACGGTGTTTGTCACAGTCTGTGCTGTGGGGTTACGCTGACACAATATGTACTTGACGGGTTATACCCAGGATACGCATGTCAGAGACTTACATGAGATAGGGATTGACGCAGACCCTCACGGGATACCCATGTCAGAGACTTACATGAGACAGGGATTGACGCAGATCCTGACGGGATACGCATGTCAGAGACTTACATGAGACAGGCATTGACGCAGATCCTGACGGGATACGCATGTCAGAGACTTACATGAGATAGGGATTGACGTAGATCCTCACGGGATACGCATGTCAGAGACTTACATGAGACAGGCATTGACGCAGATCCTGACGGGATACGCATGTCAGAGACTTACATGAGACAGGGATTGACGCAGATCCTGACGGGATACGCATGTCAGAGACTTACATGAGACAGGGATTGACGCAGATCCTGACGGGATACGCATGTCAGAGACTTACATGAGACAGGGATTGACGCAGATCCTCACGGGATACCCATGTCAGAGACTTACATGAGACAGGCATTGACGCAGATCCTGACGGGATACGCATGTCAGAGACTTACATGAGATAGGGAGTGACGTAGATCCTCACGGGATACGCATGTCAGAGACTTACATGAGATAGGGAGTGACGTAGATCCTCACGGGATACCCATGTCAGAGACTTACATGAGACAGGGATTGACGCAGATCCTGACGGGATACGCATGTCAGAGACTTACATGAGACAGGGATTGACGCAGATCCTGACGGGATACGCATGTCAGAGACTTACATGAGATAGGGAGTGACGTAGATCCTCACGGGATACGCATGTCAGAGCCTTACATGAGATAGGGAGTGACGCAGATGCTGACAGCATACGCATGTCAGAGACTTATATGAGATGGGGAGTGAAGCAGATCCTCACGGGATACACATGTCAGAGCCTTACATGAGACATGGATTGACGCAAATCCTCACGGGATACGCATGTGCGAGACTTATATTAGATAGGGATTGACGCAGATCCTCACGGGATACGCATGTGCGAGACTTACATGAGATAGGGAATGACGCAGATCCTCACGGGATACCCATGTCAGAGACTTACATTAGATAGGGATTGACGCAGATCCTCACGGGATACCCATGTCAGAGACTTACATGAGATAGGGATTGACGCAGATCCTCACGGGATACGCATGTCAGAGCCTTACATGAGATAGGGACTGACGTAGATCCTCACGGGATACCCATGTCAGAGACTTACATGAGATAGGGATTGACGCAGATCCTCACGGGATACCCCTGTCAGAGACTTACATGAGACAGGGATTGACGCAGATCCTCACGGGATACGCATGTCAGAGACTTACATGAGATAGGGATTGACGCAGACCCTCACGGGATACCCATGTCAGAGACTTACATGAGATAGGGATTGACGCAGATCCTCACGGGATACGCATGTCAGAGACTTACATGAGACAGGGATTGACGCAGATCCTCACGGGATACGCATGTCAGAGACTTACATGAGATAGGGATTGACGCAGATCCTCACGGGATACGCATGTCAGAGACTTACATGAGACAGGGATTGACGCAGATCCTCACGGGATACCCATGTCAGAGACTTACATTAGATAGGGATTGACGCAGATCCTCACGGGATACCCATGTCAGAGACTTACATGAGATAGGGATTGACGCAGATCCTGACGGGATACGCATGTCAGAGACTTACATGAGACAGGGATTGACGCAGATCCTGACGGGATACGCATGTCAGAGACTTACATGAGACAGGGATTGACGCAGATCTAGATCCTCACGGGATACGCATGTCCGAGACTTACATGAGACAGGGGTTGACGCACATCCTCACGGGATTCGCATGTCAGAGACTTACATGAGACAGGGCTTGACACGTCTCAAAGATTTTTAATAATCATTTTACAATGCAATTTTTATGTTAAATCATCTGTTTCACCTTTGGAGCCAGCATCAAACTAAATAATGGTATCATTATCATGTGTACAGACTAGAAAGAAAAATGAACTATTTTCATCATCATTGAATCATCATCTTACATTTAAATAGCAAATACCCTGTATAATCAGTCTGCTTAAGATTTTCAGCAGCTCAGAGACCTTGTCCCTTTACACGCAGTCCAGACAGCGAACGGGACTTCTCCCAGGAGGTGCTGCCGCCCTTAGTCTGTCTCACAGTCCCTGAACCACATTATTTTCCCTACTGCCAAAGCAAGTCAAGATTTCCTCAGGTTCAGGATCTCTGAATCTCTGGTCTCCTTGGGAGAATTTAAATGGGCTTGTTTGTTACTATCAAAATTACATATATTCAGAGCCTAAGCGTTAGTCTATGCTGCCCTCTGCATTACCAAGGGCTTTGCTCCCTTGGGAAAACCGGGCACACTTCTGATCGGCATGGGTGTCAGGACAGGGACGTCCTGTACACGGGTGGCTCGGACCCTAACAGAAATACATACTGGTAACGTAAGGTAGGTAGGCATGAACTAAGTACTGTGTAGCTTATCATGTAAACTGGTGATTATATATGGTGACATGCAGCATAGCACATAATACGTCATGAAGGGTTGTATTGCATGGAATATGCCTGTTCCCTTTCCCACGACAGAATTAGCATCCTAATGCGGTATGCACGTTCTCCTAACATCAAAGTGTTCGACAGCTTTCTCACCTGAGGATGGAATTCTGTTGATGGCAAGAGCAGTAATGTCGGAGTCGGAGCCAAATGTGTAATTAATGTGTGAAATCTTACTGGGTAGCACCTTAGAAAATTTGTGTTAAAACATGACCACACACACACACACAAACAAGCAAACACAAACAAGCGGACACGCATGGAATACAGTTCCATTTTAACTTTCCAAAGTAGCATCCGGAGCCATGTCCAATTCTAACTCTATGTTTCACACCAACATACTTCAAGCGAACTACTACATCTGTTTGAGTAGTAGATAGATTACGTAAGTTGTTTGGTCCTGCCTGACATTCTACTTACAGCTACAGTTTCCTACAACTATGTCACTACCTACCATATTTGATGAGTGCACATCTTCACTGATGCATCGGTGATCTGGAATGGACGTTGATGAATCAGTGAGGGTTGAGTCATGGAGTCGACAGTCTCTAGATGCCCTCACCCAGGTAATAGCATTACATCTTTTGGAGTACCAGCAGAATGTCACACATCCGATATAGGTGTGTGTATACTTGACTGTGTAGAAGCCTTCGTCGCATTTATATAAAGTGTTGTCGAAATGTCGTAGCAACGACACCACCGCCGGTAGTAACGTCAGTGCTGACCAAATGCAAACAAAAATCATCTTCTCAATTTACATCTTTCACCTGCTTAACGTGATGTCTTGCCCGTGGTATTCTGCGTTGGTATTCCGCTTCGACTAGCCACACCTATGAATAGAGTACAATTGTTTTCGTATGTGTTAATAATTTATGTCCCACCTGTAGGTAACCTTACAGATTGTCTATACTTCAGTGTACCTGAACTACAGGAGGACCAATGTCTTATGTCGTTGTTTACGAATATTGCATGGAACTGAATTAATTCAGTGCTCACCACGTTTATTTACAAATGCACCATTGAGCAATGAATGACGTTTTTCCTCAAATAGTAGACAATGTTGACAAATCAAATGTTTTGACAGAACTAAACTGGGTCCGTTTCTGAGATTTTACAAATATAAGCAATTTCTTTGAGTTTTTCAGAATCCTCATGGAATTAATTCCGCTGCGGATCAGGACCTTAATAATTTATGTCTCACCTGCAGTAACCCCTATAGACTCTCTGCACTTCAGTGCACCTGAACCACATAAGGACCAATGCGTTATGTCGTTGTTTATGGATTCTTGTATGGAATTGGATCAATTTTCTTATTTTAGATAGTTTTACTTTTGTATTGATTGTGTCACTTTCACCAAATGGAATATTTCTTCATGTCACCAGTTGCCCTCTCCGGAGAATATGCAATATCTTTCATTGAATTTATTTGAAGTACCTCTTTATATGACCGAAGTTTAGTTGTGAATTCTACTATAGTGAAGTCTATTGACAAATTCATAAGCACTGAATGGAATTTGCATTTCGTCATTTATGCTTTTACTCAGTGGAAGATGTATGTCTGTTCTCTATTTACGTATGTCCTTCGGATTGCCTGTGAAAAACACAAATCGTTGAACGACACTACTCGTTCCCATTCTCTATGTTCATCCCGGAATGTGTTCTCAGTAATTCTGAAAGCTTGTTCATTTCACTACCGCACTACTGGAACAAGAACAACCAACTACACGGAATGCAGGAATTCCTGTTCCAAGAAGCTATCGTCCAATCATCCGTATCTGTTCAAACTTACTGACTTGAGGAACAGAATCTGACTGAAATACTCATCTTGCAAGTGAATGCAGGAGCCCACCTGGAAAATACTGACCAACACCAGTTTCTGGGTGGCACCCTATAGTACAAAGACATTGTTTCTCATTATATCTGTTTAAACATTCGTCGGTTTCTCTATCCCCATTTACACTTAGGTAATGCATGATTGATTTCATATAAATTATGGCTTTTATGTTTGTGAAGTTATGAAGATATAAGATTATGAATGTACACTTCAACATGTCGTCTTCTGTTAGTATTGCACTGTGACATACGGGGTTGTATCTTATATCTTAGTTTGCAAAATCCATCATATATGTTTGTCACGACTCGCAGTCTCAACACAACCGCGGCATGGTCAAATGTGTAAGGAATATACCTTCAAAACACCATTAAAGGTCCGCAGAGAAACGACCATCTAGCCAACAGCAACAACCAGTGCTTTCATTTTAATATTGAAGAAGCATCCGAAACCCCTCACAAACTGAATCAAAGAACATCTGAACTCTGAATAAAAATGACTCCAAATCAGCCTTATCTACCCATATCAGTACCAACACCAAATACGGCATCAGTCATAAGTCAGAGCTCAAACAACAACTTCAAAGACTTCAAAATCACAAACACAAAAAAGAAATCTACAACAAACTCTAACACTAACCATCAGTCATTCGGTATGACGCTCTTTGAAATCCTGATAGAGCACGCTCGATTGTGCTTCGAAAGTTATCAAATGTAAACACCAAAGGTTGGATGTGTTGGAATATTGCTAGTTGTGAAAGGGAAGTTGACTATTGGAAAGTTGAAATCATCCCTTTTGTCATACAACCTTGTGGATAGTTTCTCACTCTGAATCTTTATGTTTACATCTAAATATGAAACAGCTGATGTCGCCTCACTTGTCTCCTTAATTTCAAGTTCAGGTGGGTAAATCAGTGGCAGGGAACTGGCTATTTCATGGTTACTGAGCGATATTAGATCATCAATGTACCGGAAACTTAAGTTAAACTTCTTGGCAAACTTACCTTCTTTTGATTTTGCCAACCCAAAGAGAAATTCTGATTCATATGCATAAAGAAACAGATCCGCAAGGAGGGGAGCATTTATTGCCCATGTGAATGCCTATGCGAAATGTTTACCCCCACAGTTCACAAAGATGTTATCAATGATAAAGTCAAGGATTTCACATACTGTTTTCTCGGTAAACTTCAAATGACATGTGGCTTCATTTTTGACAAATTGTCCTAAACCTCTGCAGATAGATATGTATGTATATCTGTGTTCACCATGATCATCTACAAATACCCCATTGATCAGGAATCAATTATTTCTTCAAGTTTGTTATGTGGGTTAGTGGTATACAGTATCTGATAATCTACAAATGTAAGCAAATTCTTTGTACTTTTAGAATCCACATGCAATTGATTCACTTTCTGTGAATATAGAGAAAGTCATTTCTTGATAGTATTAAGGATTATGGTTAATCTTTGAGACGGGGATTTTATACATTGGGTGGTACATTTAGTGAACCCAGCAATGTATCTCTTTTTGTAATAATTTTAAAACTTCGCTATATTTCATACATACCTCTTAACCTTATGAAACCGTGAAGATCCGGTTAGAATTGATCTTCAGTTACCCATGCTTGTCGTAAAGGCGACTAGTGGGATCGAGTGGTCAGACTCGCTAACTTGGTTGACACACGTCATTGTATCCCAACAGCGTAGATTGATCCTCATGATGTTGATCACTTGATTGTCTGGTCCAGATTCGATGATTTACAGACCGCCGCCATATAGCTGCAATATTGCTGAGTGTGGCGTAAAACTAAAGTCAATCAATGCATCGAAATGTCGCTAATATTATAGATAGAAGTTGATCATCTGTATATTCGTAGGCATACTTAGTACATATAAATGAAAAGAAACTCTCTGGTTGTTTACTTCTTGTTCAACCCCGTTCTCGTCATTTGTTAATAATTGAGGTCTTGAATAACTGTCCAGTGATTCACATCATAAGCATTGATATAATATCATATTGTTTTAGAAATGTACACAAAAGCAGTAGTTGCGTTTAATGTATCAGCTGTGTCTAAAACACCGACATAAAGCCTACTGCGGCGTCATGTTTTGTGGAATATAACAAACACTGCCTGTACTCTTTGTCGTTCAAGACAAATCTAAGATGGAACACATTGTGCCTGGTATACAACTTCCGGGTCATTCAGCCGTTGTCCAACCTGCAACTCAAGTAGACAAGTAATTTACTGTAGAGACAAAGCTGGTGGATTCAATTCTTATATAGCCTGTTTTGGTGACCCGATGTTGCGGATCGGGTCCTTTGTATCGCGGGCTCTTGGTAATCAATGATCCATGAACGAGAGTTAAACCATAAAGTCACAGTGGCGGTATTTCAAGCATTTTGTCGCTATGAAAATACATAAATAATGGTAGGAGTTTTATTTGATTTGTAAAAGGCAAATTACAGTTGCTGTCAGATAAATGATTGGAAGTCCTCAATGTTTCGGCCGTATCGTGACTCTGAGTCGTACGTTGATAATAAATACACTCACAGTATACATTCTGTCAACAAATGACAGTAATTCAAGTTGAATATCACACCTGTTATGCTAAAGGCTAAATTTCTGTACACAATATTCAGACATTTTATCTGAATCCCGACTGTGTTCAAAATATGTTGAGACTCCAAAGTTACATTGTGATTACCGTCCCATTCTGTGGAAAGTCGACATGGTGATCATGTGTTTACTCTCTATGTTGTTCAGATGGTTGTCCACGACAACACCTGAACAAATGTCAAGGGAAACTGCGTCGAGCATTGAGTCAACCGACGCTGTCAATGACCAGTGGAAAGGAGACAATAAGTGCATGCTCAAAAGAATGAATACCATGAAGATATGAAGTACCCTGCGGTACTGTCCATTATGCAGAAGTGTGTCTCACTGGAGTTCTAGAAACGTATCAATAGACGATGGCGTCAATGGCCACTTGCCCTCATTGAACTCATGACATTGTCAGTTTGTCTGTTACGTTTGATGTCAGTGGACGTTAGTGGAGGCCAGGGTGAATGAGTGAGTGAGTTTAGTTTTACGCCGCACTCAGCAATATTCCAGCTATATGGCTACGGTCTGGAACAGACAATCTAGTGATCAACAGCATGAGTATCGATCTGCGCAATTGGGAACCAATGGCATGTGTCAACCAAGCCAGCGAGCCTGACCACCCGATCCCGTTAGTCGCCTCTTACGACAAGCATGGGTTACTAAAGATCAATATTCTAACCCGGACATTCACGGGTATGGAGGCCAGGGAATATGACCTGATATGATGCTGCTATTTTAATAGTCTTGTATTGAAACAAGGACTTCAGTTTAAAAGGTCCTTATTTCAGAGTGAGTGAGTGAGTTTAAGCAAGCTTTACGCCGCAATCAGCAATATTCCAGCTGTATGGTGGCGGTCTGTAAGTAATCAAATCTGGACCAGACAACCCAGTGATCAACAGCATGAGCATCGATCTACGCAGTTGATATACGATGATATGTGCCAACCAAGCCAGCGTGCCTGACCGCTCGATCCTCTTAGGACAAATATGGGATACTGAAGATCAATTCTAACCCGGATTGTCACAGGTACAATGAATTGTCGAAGGATAATTATCGTGTGATAAGACAATGAACATATGGAAGTCATCTAAAGGTTTATAAGTCAAAGATTAGTTTTGTTGATTGGTTGGTCTGTCAATACTCGTTAGTCACCTTTTCCGACAAGTGTGGCTTACTGAAGACTAATTCTAACCCGGATCTTCATGGTCAACAGATACAGGAAATATATAACGTTAATGTAAGAGAGAAGTCAGTTTCAATTATCTATTGAAACTAATGTCTCTGAGCTTAACAGGCAAAGCAGCTGTGGGAACCGTATAAATTGAACAAATATTACATTCTGGATCCCCAAATTGAATGTAAACCGGTACGAACAGAGCTAAAGAGTAACCAACAGTATCAAAGATCAGTCAATAAATTACATTGAAAAACCCAGTGAACAGTCATAAAGGGCAATGCAATTGAACAATTATGCTACCACCGCAATATTTTAATATCCAGCATTATTCACAGTTTACAGTTTTGATTGGGCGTGTGAAGTTTTGTTTTAGACAGTGATGGGAAATGAAATTTTATGCTCGCTGACTTGTCAGTCTGACTGCGTAGATCGATGCTGATCACTAGATCGTCTGGTCTAGACTCGATTATTTCAGATTTTATTGCTGGAGTCAACCGTTTCATTCATTAATATGTTATTATGATAATGAACTTATCATTCTACAGACATGAGTATGTAAATAGTTTAATGTCACCAAGTCATTGATAAATGTAATGACATTGATAATGATTAAACGTCAGCTAATGCAAATCTGTCAATCAACGGGCTTGGGTTACCTTGAGAGTCGCCGACACGATGCGCACGTATAAGATCATTGCCATTTCAATTATAAACTATAGATGCTACGTAAAGCTTGACTTAATTTATAAGTCAACAACATTTGATGAAAGTGGCATTGTTAATTCAAATAATACTCAATCCATCTGAAATGACTTCACAATCAACGATCACTCTACGTGTCAACGATCTAACTAACAATTTTTGAACTCTTGAAACTATCGTTGTAGCATTATGGTTTTATTATCCGACACTGTAAGTGAGCGAGTGAGTTTAGTTTTATGGCTGAAATATTGCCGATGTGACTATAACTTCTCAGGCCCTTATTATTATGAAATGAATATGACATGCGAAAAAAGAACCGTTCCTTTGCTCACAAATTTGATACAAATGCAGCTGCGATTTTTTTATTGAGTGAGTGAGTGAGTTTGGCAATAATCCTGCAATATCTCGGCGGGGAACACCAGAAATGGGCTTCACACATTTTGCCCATGTGGGGAATCGAACCCGGGTCATCAGTGTGACGAGCGAACGCTTTAACCACTAGGCTACCCCACCGTCCGTGATGTTTGTAAATATCTATGCATTGTATATGGGCCTGAGGGGTACATGCTCAATAACACTTGACATGAGGACTAAAAGTTTAGATATTCACCCAGAGTCGTGTTGTGATATTTCAAACTCACTCACTCACTCAAACTAGCGAGTAAAGACCTGGAACAATATACCAGAGCAAGAGAATCGAGTCGTAGCAAGATTATATACCTCCCCGTCCATACCAAAGTTCTGCTAAGTTTAATGATGATAAAAGTGTAATCGTAGCAGCTGAAGTTGGTGTAAATAGTGAAACAAAACAAAAAGGAAAAACAATTGATGCAGCTTCGATAAAAACGAGCACGCTTCAAAGAACGGAAACATTTGAAAGAAGAAAAGTCGCCTAACAATCATTTCTAATCCAAAAAAAAAGGTATCACAGTGACATATAGAGTTTGGTTCTCTTCCAACAACCATTTCTAATCCGTTGACATAACTTGAAAACACTTCCAAATCCGATTCATGGACTAGATTGGACGAATCATACCCCGTCTACTCCATGTTGTGATTGGGAATTACCTGTGACAATGAGTGAATTTTCCGTTACGTCAATTTCGTAATCACAAAGTTTCTGTGACATAAGACCAATGCATGGAAATTGATATGTACGCTTTTTCGCTGATAAAACAGCACATGCTTTATGATGAAAGGTGATAAACACTGATCGGAACTCATTGTATTATTTTTACACTTCTTTGGGGGTCATTTGTCACAATATACCGGTTATTTATCAAAAAGGATTAATTTCGTGACAATTAATGGTTTTACATGATTATCAGTAGCTTTCTGAACATCATAATATGTACTTGTTACTGATATAAACCTTATGTAAGTAAATGTGAATTCAACTCTCTTGTAATATTCATGTTGTAGGTATACAGGCCATTTACTTTACCTTATCCTTCCCTTCATGATGCTAAAATCACACAGACTCTGTGGCATATGACAAAGTTTCCGTCGCAATAATCACAAAGACTCCACTCTCACTTTGACCAAATTCCCCACCAGTTTAAATGAAAGGGAAACCCAGAATAGTTTATGCGCTTCTCTGGGTCTCCAACGGTGTCAGAGATCTCATCAGGGGAGGTAACCGCAAATGCAGCTGAAGATGAACATGTGCTCGAACATTGCATTCGAGCGAGTATTTTGCTCTCTCGTCAATGTGTGTATACTATCATAACATTCAGAATAACTTTTTTCATTGTGTCCGACCGAGGACACAATGGGGTTTATTCATATTTTGGACATTGTATAGAAAAGTAATGCATTGTTACTTTTGCCTGCAAAACAACTATTGTAATCCATTTCTTGTCTGTTTGTATAGTGTTCTGTAAAGTCTAAAGTAATTATTAATGATAAAATGAATAACAAAAAACATTCATTTCTGTTATTTTGTAAACAATTGTATGTTGTAAGTCGTCCACTGTATCATAATAATATAATTATGTTATTAGTTCAGTTTTATATTTTTCACACACTGAAGTACGTGTCGAGTTTACCACAAGTTGGGAGGTTAACTTGCTGCCTTTCGTGCAGTGAACAGTTGAAATAGCCTGGGTCTTTGTGATAGTGGTGGCTCATCCGTCTCGATTTCCCCCAGATAAAAGACAACACTGACTGCTAATGATAATGGCTGCTTCCTGTTGACGTGGAGCGTTAAGTGCACAAAGATGAACAAGAGTGTATATATCACACTGGCAATGTTAAAACGAAACGTGCCTATTTTCCAAAAAAGCCTACACGGCATGATGTGACGATATAATGTTTCTATTATAGACCACTCGGAGGAGTACATCAGCCAGCAGGTGGCCAAAGTCACGCCAAACCCGGGTTCGAATCTCACATGTAAAATGTGTGGAGCTCGTATATTCAGTCCCCTGTCCACGCACTCACTTACTCACCCACCCACCTATCAAGTGAGCCGATCACCTACAAGGAGACCTTAAAATATGCTTGATATTATCCTGCCTGGCGTTCGGCAGCAAAGGTATAAATAATGAGCTGTACATCCCATTTTCAGTAAAATGTGTGTGAGTGGGCTTTCCATGTGAAACTGTGACATTATACATTTGTAACTCAGTGTATTCGCAATATAAAACCGGTAATAACCGGACAACAACGAGCAGTCACACAAACATGTCCATGCACGTGACTTTATAACTGTAATTCTCTCGAAACATAAACCCCGCCTGACTTGATGAGTGAGTGAGAGAGTGAATATGGTTTTACGCCGCTTTAGCTATAATCAAGCAACATCGCCGCGGGGAACACCATAAATGGGTTCACACATTGTACACGTGTGGGGAATCGAAGCCTGGTGGTCAGCGTGACGTGCGGACGCTTTAACCACTAGTCTACCCCACCGTCCCTGACCTCATATGATCAACAAGCCATGTTGTTGTTCTATTTTGGTGTCATGGACAGTGTATGTGGGTTTGATTGGCTAATTGGTTAGTAATAACGTTCCAAGTGGTTTCTACCTTACAACTAGCTCCGGTACTGCAACATTTGAAACAAGCTACCAGGTGTCACGCAGTTTCTCAGCTGCAGTCGGTATCCCTTTCACGAGAACAAAAGTCGGATGTGCAGCATTAAAACAAAGCCAAACTAGGAATCAAGTGCATGAGTTGCCGGATATTTGCTAAAAGTAGGTGTTTATTTCATATGATTCTGAAGCTGTATCGCGTTTATTCTTCATCCGCCATTTCTTGACGAATTTTTTTATAGATTTATGATATATTTGGTTAGAATATAAAAACCAGTCAACGAAGGACAGTAAAAAGAACCACAATATCGCAGATTTAGGAATGAAATTAATCTGTAAATATAAGTGTTTTACTATTAGCAAAATGAAATATAAAAAGAGGCTATAGATCGCCAACAACCGAAGGCGGATCACAATACTAGGGACCATGGGGACTTACAGTACATTTGCTTCCTGCATGGACCCTAGTTGGATTTACACCTTCCCTTTAGCTGTTGGCGATTGTGCTGAAATTTAGCCATAATTAAAAACACAACTGTACTACGATTAAGCGACCGATGGGCTTAACTTGAATCTTTTAGGACTTACGTAGCTTCTCATGAGGGGTTAGTTCCCATAAAGTAGAATTGTAAAAACACTGGAATGAGCTTGGGGAGTGATCACCTTCATGGTGATCTCGAACAAAGGCCAGTCAATGTTTTATCAGGTATTAGGTTGATACGAAAACTTCAAGTGGTAAAGAAATGAAATAAGTCTAAGCTGATATTTTGACATTTTGTGACATAATTTATTTTGTGTTGCCACGAATAATCACAAGATCAAACTTGTCACATGAAATATATTTCAAATATCATCTCGAAAATGATTGGGTGGGCCTTTCCAACGATCTTCTTTAATCTGCCATGCCAACCCTCCAAGTAATACTAAGATGAATAATTTTCAAATCATGTATGGTCTAATGCAAAAGGGTCAAGCAAAACTCTAGCACTTTGTCAGTATCGTGTCTGTCTCCATCGTCGATCATCAGGAACTGTTCCTTTTTTAGTCTGTCCTCTGGTAAACATGATTTAAACATATTCATTTCCAATGAAAGGAACCGGATTGGTAAACAAGCATAATCTTATATGAATACCGCTCCGGGATATAATTGAAAGAAGAGTAAATATGTCATCTGGGATGGTGATGTCCTCCCTGCATTTGGGAATGGCACGGAACATGGATCGTCTGGCCTTGTGTACTTGTTCCAACTCTCAAGGTTGTCACGTCTTCATTGAAGAGAGAGGGCATTGGTCTAAGGGTGGATTTGGCCTTTAACTTCAATCTTCTCGAAGCTATAGTAAAATTATACATTACATTTCGTGAAACATTTTTATATCACATGCGTGACATCACATTCATATTACACAATTCTAAATGCAAGTTCGATAACGAGAATCATTACATTACATTGGGATCGGTGCTTAAATCTATCTATACATTAATACTAACATTTCATTACATACCCTAATATCATTCTGCACTCGCTCATGGTACAACATCACTGATGGTTGACATTGTAGCAGTACAATCTGAGGAGATACTTCTCCAGGAAATCAATTCTTCTGCTTTCCTCTTGTTGGTTCTGTACATGTAACCTTCAGCATACATACCACCACTTGAAGTAGGCAGGAACTTGTAATCGAACTCTCATAACTGATCATAGGCCATTGTGAAAATGATACTAGCTCTTGGGGTGTAAGATATGTAAGTGTACTGTATGGCACTGACTGAGTGAACAAATTGATCATTTTCATTCACATTGATTGAGTGAACCATTAATCAGTAT